GGCCCGATGCACTCTTCGTCGCAACCCCCCCCACCCCCCCCCTCTGCTCCTTGCCGCTCACCCCGCCATACTTTCTAAGGCACGCCTGCACATCGTGCTGATTCCCCACTGGACTACTTTCCCAACGTTGCCCCCGGACCCAATTCCTTCTTCCCCCGGGTGGCGCCGTTTACCCTTTCACCTGCCACCGTTACGTTCCACGTAGATTCCGTCCTCCCACGGGTAGCCCTTCGCCAGAACCCACGGTAACTGGCTTTCACCTTTCCCCCCACCCCCCGTACTGATCCTGGCGACGTTCCCTTGGGCTGCCCGGGTTGTTGACCGGTGGTTGACCCCCTTTTTTCGCCTCCTTGGCCCCCCCCTTTGCCCCCCGGCTATCTGTCTTCGCGTGTGGGGAGACTAAATCTCCTTACAGTAGATTTCCAGAAGAAGATCACTCGATGGCTGAAATGAGCAGCCAACCTCTTCGCTTGCCCCATGCACGAAAAATTTTTATGGGATGATGAGAAAAGGCACCTCGGGGGCGTGGCAAGAATACCACCCCAATAGCTGGCGAGCCAGAGCCGGAAGAGATTTGATCATTGCGTGCGGCACCCTCCCGAAAATGACACCTCGCCTGGAGCTGGGATTTCTTATTTTGTATGAGTTCCCAGTAGCACAATCATCATTATTATAGCCCTGGTGAAGTTGCCAGAAATTTAAAAATATATTAAGCGATTCCTTAATGATGGAATCGCTGGAATGATGGAATCGATGGAAACAATATTGGTTTTAATTTTAATAATGATTTTTTTTCATAATATTAGATGCAATTACTGCTGATGGCGGCAATGAAACCGCAGACAGCCAACTTCGCCGGGCTATTCAATTGAAAAAAAAAGGCAATTCAAAAAAAAAACATGCCTCAAACAACAACAACAACGACAACAACAGCAACAAAAACACATAATTTTTGCACACGTAACACATAAGTATTTTTAAGCCAAATGAAATGGTCTAATTCTGTGAATTTATGATATATAAAATAACACAGTGCGACAGTGATTTGGAACTTTTGAAGAGACCTAGTAGGAACTGTTCATTAGGTCGAATATAGTATAAAACCGTGTTTGAAATTTTTTTAACATCTTCAAAATCTTGATTTATTTAGAAAAAACCGTTTTTCGGGACTTTTTTGCTTTAAAAAATTCCTAAGCGCGTAATTTTAAACCGATTTTAGAATGACGTTTTTTGACGTTTTTCAATATTTAAATGTTGTAGCTTTAGAAAAAAATATATATCTTTAATTTATTTCAACAAAAAGGATTACATTTTTACACAAGAAATTGACATTTCAGCATTTTGTTCGTGTTTTTCGGACTTTGACGCCATTTTTTCGGTACAACTTCCAACTAATGGTATCATTTTTGATACATATTAATATTGTCTCGTTAATTCTGAATAAAACGAGACAAATTTCATTACAAAATTGAGGAAACTATTGAAGTTATAACGCTTTTCCCAAAACAAGTCAGTCCAATCTTGCTAGCGTTCCGGAGTAATAGTGTGCCCTTCCATTTCGCCTATTTCTTTCTTTTACACACTTTTACTCCGGAGCACTAGTACTGACTTGATTTGGGGAAAGCGTTATAACTTCAACAACTTTTATAATTTCCCAATGAAATTGACTGGTGGGTACTCGTCTACCCTAGAGGCATAGTGAATTCGACACCCATGCACTAGTCCGGCGAACTGCTGGGTTATTATAAACAAACTTATTAGCCACGTATGAAAATTGTTCACATAACACTGTTATATAAATATATTAACGATCACGTCGGGGTTCACCACTGATAATTTTCAATGCCAGTAAAATAAAAATCAACTTGTATTAAGTTAAACGTTATAAATCTTTATTTGGCCGCATATGAAATTGGGATCTATGTACAATATTTGAAATCCAATTTAGGGTGCGAGCGCAATAAGAAGACGAACGAGAGTGACGCCAACCTTCCAGAATAGACTGAGCGGATGCTCGCTAGCTTTAGATGCCGAATTAGTAAAGCCGAGCGGCCGAAAGGGAGTCTGCTTGCGAACAACAATTTATCAGTTAATAATTAATTATTATATTTTAACTAGTTGCTTGCTGCTTGACCCGACAATTGAATTTAAAATAGTAAACACCGGCTTAACACCTATTAAAAAAGCAGTGGGCAAAAAAACATGAGCGTTCGCTTTGAGAAGGAGTGAAGAATAAACTTGTATGTTATGCATGCACTTCAATGCTTTTTCCGTAATTTATTATACCCTTGCAGAGGGTATTATAATTTTGGTCAAAAGTGTGCAACGCAGTGAAGGAGACATCTCAGACCCTATAAAGTATATATATTCTTGATCAGGATCACCTCCTGAGTTGATATGAGCATGTCCGTCTATCCGTCTGTCCGTCTGTCCGTCTGTCTGTCCGTCTGTCTGTCCGTCTGTCTGTTTCTACGCAAACTAGTCTCTCAGTGTTAAAGCTATCGTCTTGAAACTTTGCACACACCCTTCTATCCTTTGCACGCAGTATATAAGTCGGAACGGCCCGGATCGGCCGACTATATCCTATAGCTGCCATATAACTGATTGATCGGAAATGGTATAACTTTGGTGTTTTTAGAGTAAGAGAGTTCAAATTTGACATGAGAGCTATTTTTGGCAAAACATTACGACGTGCCAAATTTCATAAGGATCGGCCGACTATATTCTATAGCTGCCATATAACTGATTGATCGGAAATGACCCAACTTACGTGTTTTTGAAGATAGAGAGCTGGAACTTGGTACAGATTATATATTTGGTCAGTTGATCCGACCTACCAAATTTCATTAGGATCGGCCGACTATATCCTATATAGGATATAACTTCGGCTCCGCCCGAAGTTAGCTTTGCTTTCTTGTTAATTTTAATTCTATTTATATTATATTTTTATTCTTTTAATGTTTTTTCCTAAATTAAGAATCCAATAAAAAAAAATACAAAATTGTAAAATCACCTTAATATCGTCTCAGTTCGTAGTGAAACCCGCTGTGAAAATGTCTATAAGTGCGGGTTCCACGGCATTTTGGCAGGCCGCGTCGTGGAACCCGCTCTCAAATGTTTCCATTTTTCGTCGTGAAACCCGCTGTAATAATGAAGACATTTGAGAGCGGGTTCCACGACAAACGACTGGCAGATGAGAGATGGAAAGAGAGAATTCTATTTTTAGATCGTAAAATCTTTGGAACGTAAGAGTAAAGATATCAGAAATATCTTTTACTATACTTACTGGTAAGCTATGTTTTTGGTATGCATTCTAGCGCCTCCTTTAATACCAATTTTAAATATAATAAGCTCAATTTCGAGGATAGCCTAGATGGATAGTGCGCGGTCCTTATTCATGGGGTCCTGGGTTCGATTACATCAGCGGGCGGTTTTTCCAATTTTGATAAAGTTATAGTTTTATGATTCTTTTTATACCCTTGCAGAGGGTATTATAGTTTTGGCCAAAAGTGTGCAACGCAGTGAAGGAGACATCTCCGACCCTATAAAGTATATATATTCTTGATCAGGATCACCTCCTGAGTTGATATGAGCATGTCCGTCTGTCCGTCGGTCCGTCTGTCCGTCTGTCTGTCTGTTTCTACGCGAACTAGTCTCTCAGTTTTAAAGCTATCAACTTAAAACTTTGCACACACCCTTCTTTCCTTTGCACGCAGTATATAAGTCGGAACGACCGGAATCGGCCGACTATATCCTATAGCTGCCATATAACTGATTGATCGCAAATGGTATAACTTTGGTGTTTTTAGAGTTAGAGAGTTCAAATTTGACACGAGAGTTTTTTTTGGCAAAATAATACGACATGCCAAATTTCATAATCATCGGCCGACTATATCCTATAGCTGCCATATAACTGAACGATCGGAAATGACCCAACTTTCGTGTTTTTGATGATAGAAAGCTGGCACTTGGTACACATTCTACTTTTGGTCAGTTTATCCGATCTACCAAATTTCATAACGATCGGTTGACTATATCTTATAGCTGACATATAACTGAACGATCGGAAATGGTATTTGGTAGAAATATCAACTTTCGTATTTTTGAAGATAGAAGTTTGGGACTATTTTTTAGATTTTTTATTTTAGTTAATTAGTTTTATTATGATGTAATCATAAGGATCGGCCAACTTTATCCGATGTTTGCGATATATATCCGGTTTTAACTGCAAGGGTATATCAACTTCGGCTTCGCCCGAAGTTAGCTTTCCTTTCTTGTTTTTTAAATAATTTATTTTCTTCGCTTTTTGACCTACATTAATTTTTTTTGTTATTTTTTCAATTAATCATTAACATTGGAAATATTCCCTCCATCCGTACGTTATGCGTCAGCGCCTTGCGCTCGGTTATGTAGTGGGTGGGATGTTTTAGACATTTTCGATGTATGTATGTATGTATTTGTGATCTAAACTGTAATGGAAAATCAAGTTCAATCGAAAAGCAATACAACCCATTTTTATTTGAGCTTAAATACAATTATATATTATTATTTTTTTGACTAAAAAATATATTTTCGATTTTTTTAGATTTTTTATGTTAACGAAAATTGCGACTTCTGGAAACTTAAACTATTTTTAGCAAGATATATTAATGGTATTGAAATAGAATCCAAATTCGGAGACTCCGCAATATTTCTTATCCAATATAAAAACTTGTATGAACTCATCATTTTAATTGAAGACTTACCCAAGCACAAAGGAAGTCTTAACATCTACAGCTTTAATCTTTTGGAGTGTAGCCTTGGCATAATTCTTATAAACTTGCTTTCTTTGGAGCATCCAAGAAAAGGACCTAGGCTTAGTTTTCTCACCACAGAATCTAGGTCCACCGAAAGCCATAGCGCAAGGATTTTGCACTTAATTTATGTTTTCCGGCAGAGATTTATCATAGATTTAAGAAATTATTTTTTATTTATATTGAAAAGTTTTTTATCCACATTGGTATTTATTTGGATTCTATATATGATGTGTCAATGTGACTATAAACAGCTTGAACAAAATTTATCTTTTCCTATTTCTCATCCTAGAAATGGAATAATGTTTATAAAACAAAATGTTTTCAGTCATCAATTAGTTGAATCTGGTCGACAATATATTATGCAAGGAGCTAAGGATATTGGAGGAGAATCGGACATTTATGAATATATTCAAAATTATATGGTTGATCACAGAATACTTTCAGATATAAATATTTTAACAGGTGCCATATTTACAGAAGAAAAAATTGAAATTTTATTTAATGACAAACGACTGCATACAATACCGAATGGTCTTGCCCATATAATGAATGCTCTTGCATTGTGAGTTTCCGACAAAAAAATAACCAATAGTTTCGTTAAACTTTATTATAATAATAATTTACTTTAAGAGGCTTTGTGGGTCCTGATACAAAAATTGATGTTAAAATGGAGCTGTTGCAGTTTTCTACTGTTCAAGGTCCAATTGTGCACAATAATGTCAATAGTATTAATCTGGCTTTAGCTACTTCAATAAGCTTGTGTTTTTGCTTTATTTGGACATTTCCATTGCTGTTTATAAACATTAATAATGGAAATCATCCTTACTATACGGAATTCTGTGCAGGAATGGGGTTAAGCATGCTAATATTGGCCTTTTTTGTCTTTGATTTACTTTCTTCTATGCTAGCTCTCATTCCACTGAATGCTGCAATTCTCTTTTTTCAATGGGACGCACTCATGGATACTAAAATATTTTGTAAGTATTAAAGTTATTTAAGAATTATTTCTTAGACATTGACAAAAAAAATGGTAATTTGGTATTTTTTTTTTTATAGTACTTAATGCTTATGTCATTTTTGGAATTGGTATATGTGTTCTAAGTATAAACATATTAATATCGCTTCGTCAAACACAACTACAAAACAGTTATATGAAGACTGTCACATTTTATTTATTTGGAATAATAATTTACCTCGTAGTAAACGAATGGCAACCGGTTATCAGTCTCAACAAGCTAACAAACATTCTGTTAGATTTTCATCCGATTTATTGTTTGTTACATAATCTTATGATAATCTTCAGTATAACCGAAATGAAAAACTTGTGTAGTGATGAACAGATTTTTGAAACATGTACATATTCAGAAGAATGTCAAATATTTCCAAACTGTTGCGGTATGACACTAGTATATTATAATTATTTTCTTAAATATAATCATTTTACACATATATAGTAAAATCTTACACATTAATTCTGACAAAACAACTTTTTCTATCAAGTATTTATATTCTTGATCAAGTTCACCTCTCCAGTCTGTGGCTTCGATATAAGAATGTCCGTCTGCCAGACTGTTGCTAAGCCAATACAACATTTTTTTTTATTTCATACACATTTTATGCTGGATACACATTTAGTAAGTTGGAACGTCCGGGATCGATCATGTTAAGAAGAAACATCAAAACTATCTGAAATTTTGATACTTTCGTTATATTACGGACTTATGGACTGAAAGTATCTATACAGCTACCTGAAATGATCTGTTCCATTATTTCCGATTAGAATTGTGTATATACTTTATAAATAAAAAAAATATATTTTCTTTGACGAACTAATCTGTTCTTTTTATACCCTTGCAGAAGGTGTTGTAGTTTTTGTTTAAATTGTGAGTTTACGCCCCACCAAAGATTCTGCCTGGCTTAAAGCTTAGCTTCCGCCCGGTTTCTTTCTGGTAATCTAAGCTCCTTCATTATAATAGCTGAAAGCAGCTCACGACTGTCCAGAAGTGGGCGTTTTTCAGAAATTTTTTTCCAAGGAGCTCCGCCGATGGTATTTCCCCAAGAAATCTCCGCCTAGGCAGGATGAAACGAGGGCAATTGAAGACCACATAGCATCATCGCGCTACAGACAGTCTGGAGCAGTAATCTCATTCCTTGCTTAGGACCTGTTGTGACTGCGCCGATAGAATACGGGAGTCAATGATTAGCAGAAGTCTGCTATGGGGACTTTGCTGTTGCCGTTTTATAAAAACACAGGGTTTGTTTCAAGTATGTCACTGAATTTAATTTGAATTGATTTTAGAGATCAAACAATGTTGGCAGTATAACAAAAATGTGATTTTTTCGTCGTAATAATTGGAAGAAGCTTAGAGATGTCCCGCTTTCCAAAAGGGACCGGGGTCTCGAGATCGATAGACATCAAGCAGGTATCGATTGTAGGGTTATGGGATGCACTAACCTTACGTAATGAACATTACGACAACGAAAATGACCGTACATGCCGCCCCGCAATGCTGGGTCCAGCATTAAGACATCCTTCTAATGGTAACTGAAAGAAACAGGTGAAATGTTTGCTGTGGTATGGATGTGAGATCAAATGCGTGTATCACTATTGTTCAAGATTAGCTTCCTCGACTTTAGCTTCCGTGTAATTCGGGATGGGTAATCTGCAGATCTTGGATACTGATCGCTTATATGTACCCGAACCTGTATAGATTGTTGCAACTCGTACCATCCCATCGGCTCCAGGGTGTAACTCTATAACACGACCTAGTTTCCAATCGGTTGGACCTGTCCTGTCGTCCTTGATAATAACTAGGTCATTGACCTGTAGGTTTTCTTCCTCTTGTCTCCACTTAGGGCGTGCCTGAAGGTGAGACAACCAATCTGAGCTCCACCTTTTCCATAACTGGCGTAGGATCCGTTGTCCCTCCATGAACTGTGTGTTGAGCGACTTGTCCTTGTCACTGGGGGTAGGAAGCGATTGCATGGAGTCTCCGATGAGAAAATGAGCTGGAGTCAATACTTGCAGATCGTTAATATCCGCGGTTAACGGGCATAATGGCCGAGAGTTAAGACAGGCCTCGATCTGGATAAGAACGGTTGATAATTGTTCATAAGTCATTGGGTATCCTTTGAAGGAACGATGAAGATGAGACTTTACGGCTTTGACGTTAGCCTCCCAAAGTCCTCCGAAGTTTGTGCTGTGTGGGGGGTTAAAGTGCCACTGAATATAGCGCTTTGTGAGTTCTGGGACGACTGTCTGGTTGATTTCCTGCCGGAACTCGTAAGACCACAACTGTAGGGATTTATCTGCTGCTATAAAATTTGTGCCGCAGTCACTGTACATGTGCCGCACAAAGCCGCGGCGTCCAATGAACCGTTGGAGAGCCCAGAGAAAATGTTGTGCTGTGAGTCCTGTCACCAGCTCCAAATGGATAGCTTTACTGGTGAGGCAAATGAATACTGCAATATAGGCCTTGTATGTAGTGTGTCCTCTGAACCTTGAGGCCTTGACATCGATAGATCCTGTGTAATCCACACCTGTAGCTTCGAACGCTCTTTTCGGCGGATTAACACGATGGTATGGAAGATCACCCATTAATTGTCGAGAGGGTTTAGGGCGATGCTGAAAGCAAGCCACACACTGTCGGAGAACTCTTTTTACCGCTTGTTTGCCATTAATGATCCAAAACTGCTGATGGATGATCGCACGGGTCAGTTGCACTCCCCCATGCATGGTGGTCAGATGGGCGTTTTTTATGACGAGGTCCGTAAAATGATGTGACTTCGGTAGGATGATGGGTGTGCGTTGTTGAGTGGTGAGCTGCAAAGCGTTTCGAAGTCTGCCCCGCACTCTGAGGATCCCTTGGGCATCTATGAATGGCGACAGTTGGCTAAGCTTGTTAGATTGGACAGCTTCCTGTTGGACAACGCGAACCAGAGTATACATTGCCTTGGAAAACTCCTTTACGCTAATTGGTCCGGAAAGCCGAGCCTCCCTTTTGCAGCGAGTATTATGGATAAAGCGATTAATGAATGCTGTGGAAAATACAAGTCGACTGTATGACGAAAATGACTCAACAAAGGAATCAGTGGATGCACAGGTGTGAGCGTGGATAACTTTAGCTGCCTGTTCCTCGCAGATTGTGCTCGGATCTGGAGAAGTAAGAGTTACCTTGGGCCAATGATCTTCGGGTTCCTGCAACCAGTCTGGGCCGCTCCACCAGAGCTTATCATTCGCGAGCTGTAGTGGGGTTAAACCGCGCGTTGCACAATCCGCAGGGTTGTCCTGCGTAGACACATGACCCCACTGTGAAGCAGAGCTGACCTCTTGGATGCTGCCAATTCGATTGGCTACAAAAGTCTTCCACCTGCATGGATCTCCATATATCCAGTGAAGCACGATCATGGCGTCTGACCAGTAGTACACTGTGACCCGCATCTGAGGCACGTGAAGTTGCTGCTGGATCCATGTGGCGAGTTTGGTAGCTAGAACTGCTCCGGAAAGCTCCACTCGCGGTATGGTGAGAGGCTTTGTTGGTGTAACCCTAGTGCGAGCTGCGACTAAGTGTGTATGTATAATTCCAGCAGTGTTGAGTACTCGAAGGTAGGCACACGCTGCATACGCGAGGGACGACCCATCGGAGAACATGTGCAATTGAAGAGATATCACATTGATGAAATCGCAACCGAACCAGCGTGGTATGCGAATGTGTTGAACTTCTGGAAGATGTTCGAGATATCGCTGCCAACGCGCTGTCAAAGACTCTGGTAGCATGTCGTTCCAATCGAGTGCACGGTAAGTGCCATCAGTTTGCTGCATACGGAAGCTCCATACGTCCTTGAGGAGAATTTTTGACATGATTATCAAGGGTGCTAAAAATCCTAATAGATCGAAGAGCCGCGCCACTGTTGATAAAAGAGCCCTTTTTGAAAGTGTGGGATTGATCGAGAAATGGATTTTGAATACGTAGACGTCCGGGTTTGGCTGCCAGTACAGTCCAAGCGTTTTAATGCTGTCTTTATTGTCCATTTCGAAGATTGAGTGGTTGCAGAGGTCTACTTTAGGAATATCGCTAAGCAACGCCGGGTGGTTCGCTGCCCATTTTCGAAGATGCATACCAGCCGAGCGGAGGGCTGCTATGACCTCGTTTCGCACTCGAATGGCACCGTCCGTGGTCTCATGGCCGCTTTGTACGTCATCAACATAAATCTCCCTTTTCAGTACCTTTTCTGCTAGCGGATAATTTTCTCGTTCGTCCTGAGCTATTTGGTGGATCACCCGAATCGCTGTGTATGGCGCTGATGTTGTTCTGAAAGTAACTGTGGTGAGACGGAACTCTTTTAACTCTCCGGTTTTGTCACGCCACCACATGCGCTGGAATTGAGAGTCCTCTGGATGCATTTCGATACATCGGTACATCCTTTGGATGTCCGCCACGAAAACATAGCGATAACAACGCCAATTTAGTATCACTCCTCCCAAATCGTTCTGTAGAGCTGGGCCAGTACATAAAATGTCATTCAGTGATTTCCCGTTGGAGCTCTTACAAGAGGCGTCGTAGACTACCCTGAGTTTAGTCGTCAGGCTGTCCTCCTTCAGGACTGCATGGTGTGGAATCGTGCTGCAGAAGACGCCGAGCTTCCCATTTGTGTTGATATGAGAGTGACTGTCTTCGCTTGTAGTGACTTCTTGTATTTGCTGTAAGTCAAAATATTCCTCGATTGCTTGGAGATATTGTTGATGAAGCTTATCGCGCTGCTGCAATTTTCGCTTTAGTGTGTAGAAACGATTTAAGGCTATATGTTTTGATCGGCCTAGAACTTGTGACGGGTCGAACAAGGTTTTCAGTGGTAAGCGAACCATGTATTTCCCGTTGGGCTGTCGAACATGGGTTTGACGAAAGTGTTCTTCACACCATCGTTCCTCTGTGGTGGGTTGGCGTTCAGACGGCACGCTATCTATTTCGAAGAACCTTTGCACCAGATGATCAAGCGTCGTGGTGTTACAACGGACAGTGATGGAGTGTGTCATGGATTCCCTCACTGGTCCAAAAACAATCCAACCAAGAAGAGTGTTTTGTGCGATTGGTTCCTCATGAGTTCCTCGTCGAATTTCTGGGAGCATCAATTGTGGAATAAGATCAACGCCCACAAGCACGTCAATACGACCGGAGCGGGCAAAATTGGGATCGGCGAGTTGCAATCCTTTAAGGTGTTGGAATGAGCGAGGGTCGACTTCCGATTTTGGAAGGTGCCCTGTAAGTGTACGGAGAATAAATGCAGTGGATACAAACGATGTGAACTGGGAACCTGAAATCGAGCTTAGGACAAAATTGGTACTATGTCGACAACGATTGTGAGAGGAGTCGCCGATCCCTGTTATTTCCGCAGATATAGGGGTGCGTGAGAGACCCAGCGTCTGTACTAAGCTTTCGGTGATAAGTGTTCCTTCCGAGCCATGGTCAATCAACGCTCTGACTAAAACAGATTGTCCCGTTTGGTCGTTGACAATTCGGATTAGGGCCGTGGCGAGAATCGTGGTGGATGGATTTTGATAGGTGGCAACTGCGCTGAGGAGTTGCGTCTCGTTTGAAGCAGTTAAGCCGGGGGCTAGGCTGTTCTGTTGAAACAAAACAGATGAGCGGGATGCTACGCTCTGTTGGGTGCCCTGCGCGCTATGGACACCGTTCATTGGCTGTCGCGACAGGGCAGAGTTGGTAGGCTGGGTAGCTATGTTCGGAAAATGCAGTAGCGTATGGTGGCGTTGGCCGCACTGTAAGCAATTGCGAGTGCTGCCGCAGTGACTTAGCGCGTGACCTGTGCTGAGACAATTGAGGCATGCTTTTATGCGATCGACGATCGTCTTACGAGCAAAGCAATCCTTCGCGAGAAAACTGGGGCATCTCCGGAGAACATGGTCTCTTTGGCAGAGAGTGCACTGGGGTGCTCCCATTTCCGTAGTCACATGAAAACTGTGGCGGTTAGTGGAATTGTAGTTGGATCGGTTAGGCGCACGTGGATGGGAAGATTGTCCTAGTGCTGAACGAGTTCCAAGTGGTTGATTTCGATTTTCGATTAGGTCGATGCTAACTAAGCGCTCCAGCAGGAAATTCTCCAACATCGAAAAGGTTGGAATCACGGTGGAGCTCCCCAATGA